GTGCTGAATTAGCTGCTCCCCTGCTATGTCATGATGTGACAGAGGACATATTTCATTGTTATGTGCTATGGTGTGTCAACAATAACAACTAATCCCTTTCCCTTGGTTGTTGTAAAGTAAAACTTGTTCAATGGTGTACTTGGGTTGTTTTTCTAAGCTCTCAAAAATATACTTAGGAAAGAGGGTTTTAAATAAATACTTTGCAAGAGCTAGACAGTGTGTATGTAACATTACTAATTTATCTGCATTCACTGTTTTTTCCCCAACTGCTTTCAGCAACCTTGCCTTGCTGCAGTTAAAAAGTTCCCTCAACCATGAAAAAGACGCCCTGAGGAAAGTCACCACAGGTCAGCAGAGAGATGTCCGTTGACAAAGTGTTCTCACCCTCAGCCAAGAACATGCAATTTATAGCATGTCGGTAGTGCAGTCGCCATTAGGCTCCCTGACATCTCTGCGAATACAATTATATGAATCGATAGGCAGCGGGTCACTCAGGCAGACCTTGTGATGCAAATCTTCCTTCACGCTGCCTGCCTGCCTGCCTTTCCGAGACACACAAATCAATCTACTAGCAATGAATGGGATACAGTTAACTATACGTGTTGTGTGTGTGTGGATATTCTGCTTTTTGGAGGAGAATCTGTCTACCTGAAACTGCATGCCTAAGCTGTTTCTCTGCTCACACCGGAATAGATCATATTTGGCTATAGATTTTGGTGCAAAGACTATCCAGTGACTCGGATGATACAAGCCGTGCTTCATAGGTACGCACTGAGTACTGTAGCTCTGCTGGCGGTGATAGTGACTAACTCTGATGGGACCAAGCTACCATCATCACACCATAAGGGGGAAATGGTGGCCGTCTGAAACAGCGCCCCTTACAGACCTGTCAAGGTGCCTGCAGGACACAATGAGAGATGCTGGGGGCTGGAGTACACAAGGAAATTGGGGTGGAAAACAGGTGTGTTTTCATTTCAGTGGCATTTCAGTGTGTGACTTTAATAAATCTACTAGATTAAGGTCACACCCCTCCTGTTTGCAGAGACATTGAAACTGTCATTGAACAGTTTTTACTTTCTTGGCTCTATGGCCCTGGTCTTGTTTTGCATTTTAAAGCATTACCACATTTCTCCAGAACTAACAGACGAGACTTTTTTTTTATCTCAAAATAATTTTCGACGTCAAATAAAGGTTTAGTAACTGCTGTCACCTCTAATAGTACCATTGTGTGTTTCACTTATGAAAAAGGAAAGCTTGCCAGAAAAAAAGCAATCAAACTTAAATTTAGACTTACAGGGTGATTCAGATGGAAATACACTCACTTTCCTAGTAAATTCCGGTGTCTATCCAAAACCAAACTCGGACCCAAAAACGCTCTGTCATCACATTCCACAGGCAAAAACATTTGGTTATTTAACATTATTATCTAGAATCTAACACTAAACTACATTTTACTTATCAACAGCATCATGCAGGATTTAATAAGCACCCTGGATAATGAAATTTTAAGCAATTTTTTACTAGGTAAGGTAAAGTTGCTGTGGTTTTGCCAGTTGTGTGCTGACTGATAGATCCAAACGTTCAAAGAGTTCTGTTCAGAAAGCTGAAGTACCTTTCATGATCACTTCGTGTCATCAGACTAAGCTGCATTTCTCAATAAATGCAGATACAAGCAAACAGCTTAGGAAATAACCAGCAGGGTTTTTTCTTTTAATTAATTTTCTATATCCTCCTGAGTCCCCACCCATTCATTTATGTCCATTGTAGTGGACATTTTATTTTTGCATCTATATTTTCACTGATGTAAAGAAACATATTTATTCCTGTTGTACACTAAAGAGGACATACTGTGAAATAAAAAATACATTTGAAAAAAATCTAAATTGTAACATGTCTTATTTCCTCCAAAGACAAATAACCTACAATTGAAGGACACTTTTTTCCTTGAGTCTCAGGAGGATATACCTGTAGAATCTCTGGTAATAGCTGTGTTGTTGTCAAAATTTAACAACAACCAGAAAGTATTTCCCTTTTTTCAGACTAAGCAGTTGGAAATGGTTATGTCCAAGAACAAGATTATTATTGTTCGTATACAAATAAAAATATTTATACAGATACTGTCAAGCAGAAAGTTTATACAATCTTTATATACCAGCAGAAAATGCCACAATAGAAGACGAAGAAGTAATATGGAGACCCACAAAAAAAGGTCATTGTGTCATCCACCAACCCCAGAAGGAATTTTATTTATTATTCACTAGAAACATATTAGAATGGTTCAAAACCTGGCATCAATACTGTAGAATAGTCCAAAACCACTCCTGATAGCTACCAACACACAACAGAACCAGTCTCGAAATTACCAGCCTGCTTATCTTGGACAATTAAGCAATAAGTTACAGCGTACATGTGTGGTCCTTCCTCCATTCTGGGTGCTTTTTATATTTAGCTTTATTTCTGGATAGGAAAATATCAGATTAAATTCAATCAACTGTTTTTTTTTCCCCCTCATATCAATTTAAGGGAAATAGGTTAGATTAAAAGTCAGTAATATGTCCCTTATAATGTTTGATACAATATGTTTGATATATATAAGTCTGACATAAAATAAGGCCTATGTTCAAAACAAACAAGTCTACCATTGGCCCACGGCGGTCTAGTACAGCTGCCTGCCGGAAAGGGGCAGCTGCTAGTATGACCTACAGAACCCAAAGATAAACCAGCAAGCTGCCACCTCCCTCTGCACTTTGAGCTTTGATTATATCGTCACTAAGCAAATTAGCCCTCCCTGGATAAGGGAACAGCCTGTGTAGATATGTCCAAACAGCCTGTTTAATGTGTTATTGTAGCGGTACGACTCTGCGGTAAAATACCATGGGACTTTAATTACAGCGGCCCGGCCCTGCTTCCCCAAGATACCAGTATTCTGTGAATGGAAAAGAAGCCATTTGGCGATGGCTGCTGACTTTGCCTCTCTGTCTTCTGTCGGAGGAGCTCGTACAGCAGGCCATGCAAGGCGTGTGTTTATTGTGCAAACAAGAACTATGAGGCCTATGTTAAGTAATAACCCATGACGTCAAGGACCTTGGGCACTGAAGTATGTGTTTCAGCCCTTTGCTGGGTCGAGAGTCAATCCAGCAGCAATGTTAGGTGTTTAATGTTTCGCTGCCTGCTTAAAATACCTGATATAAAAGCTTTATTATCTATTGTGATCTTTTTAGCACACAGAATGCCCTGTGGTAGACTACAGAGTGGGAAAATACCTGAAAGGCAGCTTTCTGCTAAATGCAAGAGCAGCAATATCACACATCATTAGGCATTGTCGACACATTACTGCTCCCCACATCTCAGCAATCAGTGATGTGGGATTTAATTCTGCCACACCTGCCAGTGATGTCATGACCCTGACACTGCAGTGAAAGCATATAACGGCCTGCAGTCCCCCCCCCCCCCGTGACACCCACAGACCACACGTAGCAATACACTGGATTCTAGACGAAATGGCTAAAATATTAAATTGTAATTTAAGAATCAGTAAAAATACATCTGTCTTTTAGTATTTTATTTTATAACCCCTGAAAGAAAACAAAATATGGATTAGATGCACATTACATATTATACATAAAAAAAAATGTATATCATTGTATGGAAATGATCACATTACACAGTAATATAACATATTTTCTTAACACTCCACTGTCACCGTTATCGTTTTAACTACCAGGTGCACATGTGATTATATGAATAAAAAATAAGGATTAACTATAAACACAAAAATATGTCATTTTTTTAAATATTATGGAATAGCAAGGAGAAATATATGATTAACTAAAGCTTTCAGCTCCAGTACCACCCTCCAACTCAGCCCTTACTTATATCAGAAGCAAGCAGACATCTGATTAAAAGCCAATATATCTTAATAGAGTAATATTAGGATTCATTTCAAATGATCTGATAAGAACTATAAAACTTCTGATATTACAGAAAATGGAGCTAACTCAAATATTTAAAAAAAGAAAAAAAAATCGTATTGTCAGAATGGTACTATTTAATATAATTTTAGAGTTTTAATACCTTATAACTCTAGACAGTATGTGCATTTATTATTTAATATTTACTAGTAGCTAGGGGACACTGACAAACATAAACAATCTGTGACTGCTTTCTCTGTCTTAAATATTAATATGAACAGTTTTCACTGGACTGAATAAAGTAAATATTTGGCCCTTTAAATTCGAATAGGAGCATGTGCAGTGCAGTCAGTGCGTGTATCCCATTCACTCACAGCATGACGTATTATATGGCATCAGCAGCTTAATTAGGGGTACTTAGCCAATCACTATCCTCCTATTTTTATCGGCGTATGTACACGATGACAGAGCACAACCCTACAGCAATTTTGAACTGTATAACTCCGCATCAAAGGACTGTCCGAGTCTTAAATTAAGATGGAATTCTGGAGATAATTTGCAAGTTACTCGGTTTCGTATTACTTCTCCCTCAGGTTTTTGAAAATGACCATAGTTTTTAGATGATGATATTGTTATTATTATTCACTTAAAATGTATTATATTTTAGTAGTGGAGTTATTTTCTATAATTTAAACGGTCAGTTTAAATGCAATTGTCTGAACTATTTATCGTTTCTGTAGTTTAATACTGCAGATGTTAGACTATTTCGAAAGTTAACAAAAATATTTAATTCAACCAACTTTCAACGCATTCGTCTTTGATTCCTTCAGATAGTCCATGTAATGTGGCAGAACCAATCAGACTTCAATGCGTTGACCGATTAATAATGTAAAAAAAACTGTCTAGCCTTTTCTTTTGATTGACTGTGTGGTTGACCAATAGAAAATGAAGAATGCAAAGAAACAGACCAATACCTACCTCTTTAGGCGTTGCTTTCTGTGTTTTGACCTCTGAGAACCGCATCACCGCCTACTTTGTGCCTGTGGCGGAGTAAAGCTATAAATTGCGGCGAAATGACAGCTGGTCCGACAGAGTTGTAAAAACTCCCTGGCAGTAGGGAGTTGGTTAGCATACAGAGAAAAGCAAAATACCTAAAAATAGAAACTGCATAAAACCATAATCTGCGCAGACTGGAATACTTTTTTTTAAATTGTGACAATAAATGATATATGAAGAAATTATTTGGCTAGCTATATCCTACATACGACACTTTTTGCACTAGCTAACAAACGTTACTTCAACAATCTGCTGTGAATTTTGTATTTTTACCTTAAAGTAAGTATCCTTTCTATTCAACGGTTTAGTGTTAAATGCGTATATTTAAGATGTACGTGTCATGCTGTTTATGTGCTGCCTGTGACCTTTAATTTCTATATGATTTGGCTGTAAGGGTAAACTCGGCTGCTCTGGCCGCTTTTTAGCCACCGTCCAGCCGGACAGAACCCTTTTTATGGACGCGTTTTGTCCGCTTTGATGTTCGCAATTTTGCATATGGTTACATTAGGCGGATGTTCTCGTCGCCTCACAGGTTAGCTGAGCTGTTAATGATTGCCTCTGCTCGCTCCGGAGATGCACATTTCAATTCCCTAAAATATATGTATCGGTAAGAAACTAAGAAGGATGAAACGCACCGCCGCCGTGATCCGGTGACCGGTATGTCGACCAGCCCGACTAGCTGTATCCTCCGTCGGCTTGGCGAGGTGTCCTGTAGCCACTAGCCCCGTTTGTTTATCGTGTTGCGTAACGGGGATGCGGACGCTTTGACTCAGTGTCCAGTGAGCCTTTTTAAACTATCCGAGCGGCTTGCATAACGTCGCCGAGCCGCCTTTCCATTATTTTTTCGTCTCACGAACCAAAGGTCAGAGCTAAATCCAAAATAAAGGTCACAGCTCGCTCGTATTTAACATGCTCGCTGCATACGCCAAGGCTACACCCGTTTTCCCCCTCACCGCACGACTAACGCGTTATGACCTTAATAAAAGTGGCTGCTTGTGTACAAGGCGATCAAGGTTAATTTGCTTATGATCGGCATACAGCCCGGATGGCTTGTCGAGTAGCTAGCAGCTCCGTCACTGGCAATCCGTAAGTCAGTCAGAAATGCCTGCCCCCGACTGCGAGTTTGTGATGGGAAATTTAATGAGGACCATATTATGTAACTAGTTCAGCTGCCGCCTTTCGCCTTTTCTGACAACTGGCTGCAGCTAACTCGCTATCGTCCGCAATATTTTGTATTTTTTGTTCCTTCTTAAAATCTGCGATACTCCTGCAGTTAAATGCACGTCTCTTTTTGAAGCATCTAAGCTCGAAGCCTCCCGTTTACCGTCTACAGATGACTGGATGATGATAAAATATAATGTGTGTACATGTAATATCGGTGGCTGCGATGTGCGCTAACACCATACGGAAAGCACAGGAGGGGGGCCGGTGGGTGGGTGGGTAGATAGGGATTAGAGTTGGGAAGGGATATCATCTCCCTTTTAGTTGTGTGCCCACATCCTACGTTTAAAGGTCATTTACCGCAGCGGACTGGAGTTAAGCCAGATTGTATTTTCTCTCGGTGTCAATTTGGCCTTTTACTCGTTTCATATCGCATTTACCTATGGATGCATTTTTAATATATACATGTTTCGTTTATGTGTGTGTGTGTGTGTGTATGTATATGTATATATATATGTATATGTATATATGTATGTATATGTATATATATATGTATGTATGTATGGAAGTTATAAATTTATTTATACAACCAAATAAGATGAGAAATGTATACTTTCTGATCTCAAGTTGAAACTTATTTTCATGGGGAAGTATTGTCAGTTGTCAGCCTCTGTAGGTTATAAGTACGATCAAAGGTGTAGGAGAGAGCTTGATATTTGGGGCCACAACATAATTTCAATGCGGATTTTTTTTGTTGGGGTTGGACAAATGAAAACTATATGGGGGGGGGTACATGACCAGATGCGTAGGAATTGGGGGGGGGACTTGTCCCTGTCAATATTTATTTAATTTGGCTAAATTCACCCCTCCAATAAACAGACCATTATATTATATTAAGTTGTGTGATCCCCCGATCGCAGACTCTCTCCTACACCGTTGTACATGACTCACCTGGATTCCACGTCCTTAGTACGACTGTCTATTGTATATACTGACAACATGGATTAAATCAATGTGTGACCCTCCTTTTAGCCTTTGAACTGTGCCTGAAAGTAATGTATGTTTGTATTTTTCCTCTTTAAAGGAATAAGAACAGTTGCTTGTGGAGGAAGAGAATTCCTTTTCGGCCAGCTGCTGTTTTCGTATCGTCTTTTTCTCTGCCTGGTGCAAACTGAACACTGCTGCCTTGGAGGTTTTTGCAACACTCAAAAGAGGCTCAAGACAACACTCGCAGCCGTGCAGCAGCTATGCAGCTTGAAATCCAAGTAGCTCTCAACTTTATTATTTCTTATTTGTACAACAAGCTCCCCCGGCGACGTGTGAATATCTTTGGTGAGGAGCTCGAGCGGCAGCTGAAGAAGAAGTACGAGGGACACTGGTACCCGGACAAGCCGTACAAAGGCTCTGGATTTAGATGCATACACGTTGGAGAGAAAGTGGACCCAGTTGTGGAACAAGCAGCCAAAGAGAGTGGGTTGGACATCGAAGATGTCCGCAACAACTTGCCTCAGGATCTAAGCGTGTGGATTGATCCTTTCGAGGTATCTTACCAGATTGGTGAAAAGGGACCTGTTAAGGTGCTCTATGTGGATGATAATAATGAGAATGGATCCGAATTGGACAAGGAGATCAAAAACAGCTTTAATCCTGAGGCTCAGGTGTTCATGCCAATCAGTGACCCAGTGGGGGCTTCTCCTGAGTCCAGCTCGCCGTCGCCTCCCTTTGGCCAGTCTGCCGCCGTGAGCCCTTCATTCATGCCGCGCTCCACTCAGCCTCTGACCTTCACCACTGCCACTTTTGCTGCCACCAAGTTCGGCTCGACCAAAATGAAGAATAGCGGCCGCAACGGCGGCAAGGTCGCGCGCACATCGCCCACTAACATAGGCCTGAGCGTGAACAACCTCCTGAAGCAGAAAGCCATCTCCACATCAATGCATTCTCTGTACGGCCTCGGCCTTGGCGGCCAGCAGCAGAAGCCTTCGGCCCTGTCCCCTAATGCAAAGGAGTTTGTGTTTCCAAACATCCCCGGGCAGGGCAACAGCAGTGCAATGTTTCCAGGTGACAACTCCCTCAGTCTCAGCCCCCTCCAGTACAACAATGCCTTCGACGTGTTTGCGGCCTATGGTGGTCTCAACGAGAAGTCCCTCATGGATGGCTTAAACTTTAGCCTGAGCAACATGCAGTATTCTAACCAGCAATTTCAGCCAGTAATGGCAAACTAATATGTGACGATGCATATGTAAACAGCAATGATGGGGTGGATTAATAATACATAATAATAAATTAATATATAAAAAGAAACATCAGATTAGCTCCCATATAGTTATTGAAGTCAAAGCGCATGCACCCAAGGGGTCTCCCTTTATTATCATTTTTTCCCCCTTTAGTTTTCCCCAAAAACTTGTCATACAAGCTTGGTTACATAAATTCAACATACATCGTTCTCCTTTCCTTTTTGCCAACCAAGCACAATTTTTTTACTTTAAAGAAAAACAAATCTATATATATAAATATGTATACTCTCAAAGCGTGGGGAAACTCAAGTTATGGCCTCTTACAGTATTTAAGTTGGTAAGACCTAGCTATTTTTTTTTTTTTTTAATTGGCATTAATAAATGGGGTTACTTGGTCTTTTTTCTAATTGTATAATTTAATTTAGTACAGAGTTTGTAAAATATCAGAGTATATATTGTTTCTACGACATGGTATTGCATTTATATCTTTTTACTACTCCAGTGATCTGTGATGGCTGCAGCAGCTTTACGTTATTTCTTTTTTTAACGGAAATTGTAAAACGAATAAATCCATCTAAAAACAACTATTCTAAAGATTGTGTACAGAATATTCCTGTTGTGGTGGAATTACAGTGTAGGAATACTTGCTTTTTTTTGAAAGAGTTGTATTTTCTGTTAAGAGTTTAAAGATTTTTGCTATATTATGGACAAAATGTAATCGTATATTAATTTTGTACCTACATTGTGCAATACTTGATGAAAAAAAACTGTATAACAAAGTATTTTGAGTCAGCGTCTTACATGTCAGGAGGGACTGAAATAGTTTATATTGTTAAGTTTGTATTAAAATGCTACAAAAATGATATGCTTGTCTTTATTTTTTTTAATTTCATATTTGCATCCTGGCCTTTTTAATAAAATTCACTATACTGTAGTTCAAACTGATTTCTGCTCTTCATATTTGAACACCTTCTTAGATGTCAAAATGTCACTTGTCGCTTTATGATGCTGTGGTGTGACACGTGGTCTTGCAGCTGTGGGTATTGTGAGCTGTGGAATGTTCAAGAAAAATGACAATGCAGCGGGTTTGACATTCATGTGAATGACTGAATGAAAAGGCCTTTAGATCCCAGGAACACTAGACCTAGATCAGCCCAGCAGAAAGACGTCACATACTGTATATATTGGCACTTTTAGTGCTGATTTCAGTCGGAGCAGAGGCATGATACTTTCTTTACAGGTTTAGGCTTTTGTTTGCGTTAGAGACTTTCCTCATTTTGAGAATCAAGTTGATCGTCTAGGTTTCCATCTGTATTTAACTATCTGTCAAATTGCTGCCGTAGCTTTACACTCGAAAGGATTTATTTGCTTGTTACTTCTTCCTGATGTTTTGCATAAGGGTACAGACTGAAGAATATCCCCGAGAATGAACCGTTGTCATTTTCCATCCTTTTTATACTATATCAGGAAGTATGGTACAGTTTCAAAAGTCTTAGCACTTTTAGTATGTAAACAGGCCCAGTTTGGTAGCTGTTTGTTCTTATTTTTTCCAGTTATGCTTCAGTGGTACGAATGAGGAAGATAGGGCTGCTGTCTGAAATGGTAGCACACTTTGGTTTTTTTGATACTTGAGAAGGATTGACCCTAGCTCTATACTAGCCAGAATTTTAATAATGGAAGCTCTTGACTGGTTCTCAGTTGTGCCAAAGTGGAGCGCCTGGAACATAGATGTAAAGCATGTTCTCTTGCTTAATAGAGATAAACACATGACATCATTAGTCTATATCCGAGTGATACAGTGTTTGAGCTGTAGAGGCTGTGTCATAGCAAATATCGATCACCTATATGCGAGATTGTTGCCTTGGGTGAATCAGGGCTTGTGGATCACGTGGGGGTACACTTCATAATGGAATCCCTGAAGTAAAAAAAAAAAACATTCCTGCTACGAGAATTGTGCAGGCTGCCAGTATTGAGCATTTGGCTGCGTGACTGAGTCAGGCCACGCCTGTTACTTTGGTGCCATGTGACTCGATCACTTCTCAGTAGCGCCTGTCTGTTGAGATTCCTCTGGGTGTCTGAGGGATAGGCTGGTGTAGCACAGCTGTGCTAATGAAGCACATGTAAATCTACTTCCAAGGCAGTAATCAGATTGGTGACACAGATCTTTAGCTCAGTAAGCTAAATGTGCTGTTCGCTGGGGGAGCTGTGGCTGTGGTTGTTAAATCTTTCATTCCCATAGTACCAAGATTACAGTATCGATGGCTGATTTCTTTGTGATTTGCCAAAGATGAAAATGAGCAGATGACCCAGATCGCACAGCTTGTCGTTTTTGGGTTCCAGTAGCTTAGGTGGCTGTTTCAGTGCATTCTTAAGGATCTTTAATGTCTATACCACTGGCTAAATGCCTTTATAAATGTTTTATTCATTTGTCTGTATTGAACAGCTGTACAATTAATTTCTGACGTTCGTATTGCACCTGAGCCTGGAGGTTTATAAGCTGAATGTTATGTCCCTTTTAAATATTGCATTTCACAACGTTCCTGGCTATAACTCATCAGGTGGTTAACAGGCTCTGTTTGAGATTGCTCACATGCAGAGAAAGGTGGGTTCCTCCTTGATATGCATACCATCTCCTTTCACAGCAATGTGGCATGCACACAGCCCAGCAGAGGAATCTGCGCTTCTCAGAGATGCTTGTGTAAGTCTTGCTAAGCAGTTGCCCATGGTATGGTATGTTGGCTAACAAAGTCAGGGATGTAGGTGTGAGTCTTGTGAAGTTCTTTGGAAGAGAAGCTAGAAGGCTGCAGGGGTGTCACTGGGGTTATGACGTTGAGATGAATTTGGTTTCTGTGGGATTGGCACAGATTTTTGAATAAAAAAAAATACCCTGAGTACCATTTCCTCACATTTCAGGCCTAAGTAAGTGTAACCAATCTACAGGAAGTGCATGCTGGATTTTAAGTACAACTACCGGATTTTGTGGCTGGTAAGTTCTGGAAAAACAACTACTGTAAATGATTAGGGCAAGGTTGATGAAGAAACAAAAGCCATTTTTCACTTGCTTTTGGCCTCATAAGGCAGAATCCGTCATATATTCACCTACCGTATATCTAAAAGTGTGATGTGCCCGCAAGTGAACCATGTCTGAAAACCTATTGAGTTTCACAACCTTATATTTCTCTATGCTTTTAGACTTTATCAGGATAGTAGGGATGAAAGACATGTGTTCCTAATTTATAATTTTTTAAAGTTATCGCACAGCCTGTGTTGCTGTTACTGAATGCATGGAAGAGCATAGTTCTTTACTTATAGGATTGTTTGAGAATTGAAAGTAAACAATGGTTTATTGAAAATGTAAAAAAAACGTCCACAATGATATTAAAAATAAAACCCAAGGTTGAAGCCCATGAAAAGGTTTTAATGAATTCCTCCTGTATTTTCCATGGATAAAATATAACTCTGGTCAGCTCCACCTTTAATGTGTTGCCAAGTAATTTCACTGCATAGTCCAAGGATCACCTTTGTTAGCCAAAGCCGACACTTACTCAGTCTTGTTCATTCGACATGAAAGTATTTCCAGAATACTTGCTAATAAGTAAAAATTTATTTTTGCCAGTCTGAAGGCTTTAATGATGTTAAATAAATCACTGGGGATAGAAACACCTGAATACCAGCAGTATCCCTTACTACTTCAACAGTACTCCAGCAGTATCCCTTACTACCAACAGTATTCCAGCAGTATTCTTTACTACCCCAACAGTATTCCAGTAGTTTTCCTTACTACTCCAACAATACTGTTATGTTACGTAAGTACCAGTTATAACAGCTTCCTCCATTACCCAAATTCTTCAGGGGTCTAGTCACAAGAAAAATGGAACAGAGTCAGGTGTCCTTCTGAGCATGTGAATAAAAGGATTTCCATGTCATTAAGGGGACATTTTCAAAATGGCTCCGGGAGGAACTTGAAAATCATGCAGCGTTGCTGATTACACCCAAATTCCAGCAGATGATACCTGAGAATCTTGGATGGCCAAACAATAAGCGAGACGATACGTGAATGAAATGCAGGGCCCCAAAGGAATTTCGGTTATGTGGTGATACGCAGTACGCTTAGCTTTTACCCAGACGCCATGAACACGTTCTTTGTGAATGTAGTTTCCCCATCACTTCTTCAAGGACTGTGATTTCTGAGTTGTCCATTGGTCTGGAGTATATTCATAAAATTAGATACACATTCACTCACCCCCATTTTTGGTGTTACGTGCTAAGAAGAAACCAAAACAATGATCATACTGTACAACAAAAAAACTGTGAGAATATTTATTCTTTAGTCTAATAATTTCTATTGTTTTATGTTTTATATTGTTTGCTATGCATATCACTCCCAGTGGGCTTTATATTATAGCTAATCCAACCCATGAAAGCCCTATTTGCTGCTGATCAAATGAAAAGCACAAAATACCACATAATATTGCTGCTTTTAGAGTGCTGTTTATGCTTCAGCTGAAGTCATCACTGTACCGTACTGTTATGGTGACTGAAGCCACAAGCCTTAACCTTGTTGTGACTTTATAGTTTGTCACACAGAAGGGTCAAGTCAAGCCATGGCAATTGACTGTGCACCCTTTGCCTCATTTGCCAGTGATTTTTGGGAGTCCAGAGAGGCTTGCACATTATATCAAATCCAGTTCATATGAAAAGAAATGTGAAAGGACACATCGGTGTAAAGGTTATTTCAGTCAATGTTAAAGTCACAGTTCTCAGGGTAAATTTCCACGTACGTCGGCTGGCTCATGGCAGATCAGTGATATTGATGGACTTCATTTTCAGCTGTAGAGGCTCTCTGACCAACAGCTCCGGTAAAAAAGGAGTCCTTTTCTTCTTTCTCCTCCCCCAAAGTTTCTGAAGTGTTTGATCTTCCTAGGCTGTGTAATTTAATCGCAGTTGATTCCCCATAGCTTTCAGCCTCAAAGCGCTGGTATTACACTAGATGGCTACAACATAATTTCTCCTATCATCTTTCTCCTGCTGCTTTTGAAAGATAACAGTAGCTTCTACTGACCAATGAAACTTTACTGCAGCCTCTTCCCAACTGTCATGCTCACAGCGAAGCGAGGATTATAGCCTATGATTTAGCAATTTACTATTGCAGAACTGCAGGTAGGGACAGGTGCAATTACTGGTCCACACAACTGACGTTGCGTTATTTACTTTCAGAAGCAACAATATAATTAGCTTTCCATGTCATGGTGAAAATGAGTTGTACAGGTTTTGTAAGGTCAATCATGAATTTCTATTTTGACTAGCAAAACAAGCAGTCGCCCCAGGAGGAACATTCATCTTCTTTATGAAACACTGCACATCTGATGCCTGTATTGTGCTGATACAAATTGCAGACAAGTATGCATCCCTAACAGCAACTGTATTTGATTTTGCTCAGCATTTAATGAATAAGTCAGACTATTGTTTTTATGACCATCTTTATCACTGGTATTGTTCTGTTCCAGCATATGATAATGGAGAGTGGGTATGGACCTGAAAGTTCTCCCAGACTTCCTGAAATCTTCTGCTCATGTGAGTGTAAGTATTGAAATGAAATAGTCAAACGGAGTGAAATACAATGTAGTCAATGGAATATTTCAATGAATGCTGTATTTACAGTGAAGCGTATAATCGTACATATGGAAATCTGTGTGAAATCTCTACAAATTTAGGCGTAGTGCTCAATCATGAGATAAACAATACCGGGAAGTTTTATTTTCATTCATCAGAAGAGTAGATGTATTGCTTATTACTTAGTTATTTCTTAAGGACCTGTTGAGTCACAGTTAATGATAATGGTTACTGAGAAAGGCTATCCACT